GCTAGGGAGAGGGAAGCGGAAAGGGCGCATCTCTTTCCCCACATGCTCCCTGTCCAGACACAGCCGCCCTTTTCCTTTGGGTGCGTTCTGGCCATCCCGGCGTGGCCGGCAACAGGAATACCAGTGCTGTTTGTTTGTTACCACAGCCCTGTCCGCATCTTCGCAGAGTTTGTCCCAGCCAGCCTCTCAGTTGGAGACGTTTATCGTCTGGCTGGGATTCAAGAGGATGACCGGACACAGATATTCGTCAAGGATGTCCCCTGGGCTGTGCCGGCCGAGGCTCGCATTTTTGTCCAGCCGGGTGACCTTATCTCCATTTGCCCGATGGAGCATGCCCTTGCACCGCCGCTAGACTTCGAACAGATGTTTCGGGCACACACAGTTTGGCACGAGGATCCGGTCTTCCCCATGCCAGCCGAAGATGGAGTCTGGTTGCTCACCGATCAGCTCCACCAGAGATTTGCCGCACGCCGTCCCTACCGTACTCCGATGTGGGTGGTAGTAGCTCAGTACCTTGGCATCTCTCCCACCTCACTGACCTTTATGCCAGCATGGCCCCCGATTAGAAACCACTCGCATCGTGGCCTGGCCTCAAAACAGGTCTTTCTTGCTGTCCGAACCCCTGGCTCGGGCCGTGTTCCTTTTGTCCTGGACTTGCGTCCGGTCCTCCTGGGGATTTCGTGGGCCTCTGCGCCCGATGGCATTGTGGACGTGACAGAGATATGTAACAGGCAAATACACCGGTGTCCACACGGACACTGTGTCCGTCTGCACGGGGGGACATCGGCACCCGGTCTGGCGAACCATTTCCGCCGCGTTCATGCCGGCCAGACTCTCACCATTGAGTTTGCCCCGCGGTGGTACCGTGGGGTCGAGCCACCCAGTGGGCCCGACGGCAATGGAGACCAACCCGACGCAGATGATGGGAATGACGATGACACACAGCCCCCGGATGACTCCGACGGCCCTCCCACAGGCCTGAGTTTCTCTGCCGGCATCCCACCTGGACTTGGGTCGGCCAATGCGGGTTCATCCAGTCAACATGCTTGGGAGAGTCGAGTAGCCATGTGCATTTCTGGTATTTTGCAAGTTGCCTTCTCCACAGGCGCCAGAATTGTCACCTCTGTCCTCCTCTTCCTCATGGCTGCTACCGCTTCCGATTCACTTTGGACTTTGTGCTACGCCCTACAAGGTACAATTGCCATAGGTGCTGCTCACCTAACCCTTCTTGGCCTGGTGTACGCCAACCTGCGCATGCTCAAGCTAGGGAGCGGCGGGGGCATTCGGACACCCGTCCGCTGCAACAGGCTTGTGCTCTGGATGCTATTACACACTTGCTTCCAGCAGGCGAACGGGGTTCAGATCCCTGGCCGCGCTAGGAAAACGGGAAGCAGCAACGATGCCAGTGTTCTGACCCATGCGGGAGTACTTGAGATACCCCGTCCACTTTGGTCGAGGCGACCTGCACCTGGTCTTGCCAGTTATTATGGCCTGCCAGCCCCCGTCCACAATGCTGGTTTTGAGGCTATTGATTTCTGGGAGTGCATTGATAGTGACGACCTCACCACCTTGTTGGACGAAGCTGTTCGTACGCCGGGTTCCCTTGCGTTCTTCAATGCTGCGACGCTTCTTGACACCCTCGTTGCACACCAGGCAGAGGTCAGGCTTAGACAGGTCCCCGTCCTTTCTTTAGCAGAACACCTACCAGCCACACAGGCTTATGACCTGACTGCAGTGTCCTTTGTCCCAGGGCGCCAATTGTCTATCGCGATGAGCCTGGTGCGACCAGGTGTTTGGCCGTTACCCCATGTGCTTCCTAAGGAGGTACTTGCTGAATTGGGTACTGCCTTTCCCGGCCATCTCAGCGTCTTTGACGGCAATCATACAAGAACACTTCAAATCTACACGGATGGCTCGTTTGACGGCCGTCATAGCTCCTGGGCCTTTGCGGTCTTCGGCACGGACAGCGGAGGGTCCTACCTACAAGGGTGGGCAGCTAGTCGTGTCGTAACTGACCAGCAACACCCGGGGTACGTCGGGGCCAACTGCCATACTGCGCTGGTCGGAGAGCAGTCGGCTTTGCTTTGGGCGACAATTTGGGCCCTTCAGACCCCACACCATCCAGGGACTGCCTTCTTTGCGGATTGTCAGGTAGCGCTTTCCCAAACCACGGGAGAGTTTGGTGCCACTGACCCCGGTAGCCTTGCTAATGTTTGCAGGCACGCTTTCCAAGCACTCGGTGCCCACAAAACTACCAGATGCCCAGATATCCACCATGTTCGTTCGCACCAAGGCGTTCTGGAAAACGAGATGGTTGACCGACTTGCCAAGTGGGCCTGCCACATCAGCAATGATGACCAGCTTCCCTCACACATGTGCGTTGCGGCCGGATGCTGCCGTTCTCCCAGCTTTCCATGGTTCTGGCTAGCCCTCGAAGCTTCCAGACATCCTAGACTGTGGCCATGCTACCATGGTTCTGGATTTGTTGACTGTAACCGCCCAGAGGAACCGCCTGTCCTCAGCTCGGACCGGTGCCGAAGCTTCTTTGGACTTACAGGACCGGATGGGACTGACTCCCGACGGCACCCCCTGGTTGTTACGCTCTGCCTCTTCACCCTGAACACCCAAACGCTGTCGGAATCCTTCGCGGCTCCGGGACCGGCGGGTAATGATGACAGCGATGGCTTCAAGGGCCGTGCGGCCTTCCTGCGCGAGCAGTTTGATTACTACGGCGCTCATGTCGTTGCGTTGCAAGAGGCCAGAGCACCAGCGGATAGTATGCATGTCTCTGCGACACACATCCGCCTCTGCACAGGTCGGGACTCCCGTGGGAACTATGGGGTCGAACTTTGGCTTTCCCGCAAACATTCATTTGCCACCCTTGGCGGAGTGCCACTGTTCTTTGAGGCGTCGCACCTTTTGGTTCTTCGTTCTAGCCCCCGCGACCTGTTTGTTAGATATTGCAGAGGCGAGCTCCGTATCCTCTTTATCTCTGCTCACGCTCCTGTGTCAGTGTGTCCGCACAGAGATACTTGGTGGCGTGAATTCAGGACAACCATTGACCGTTTCAGTCGTGACAACTACATTGTCATTTTGGGCGACCTCAACGCCCATTTTGCCGACAGCATTCATGGCACTGTTGGCGACTTAGTTTTCCCTACGAAGCACGCCCTGGCCCCATCACTGCCAGACATCCTCTGTACACACCGGATGTGGATCCCTTCCACATTCAGCACTTGTCATCCGGGCCCCACTGAGACTTGGTGGCCCCCTGGCGGCGGTCCTGGGGCCCGACTAGACTACGCGGTCCTACCGACCTCCTGGCACGTTGAAGATGGAGGCTCTGCAGTCTTTACGGCACTCGACTGGGGGCAAAGTAACATCGATCACTGTGCCCTGCGCACTTGGGCCACCTTTCACAGCTCAGGTCGCCACAGCCACCACGCCAGACGGCCAGCTTACGACCGAGAGTCCATGCTCTCCACACAGGGGAAAGACGCCCTCAAGACCATCTTTGCTTCAGTACCTGCACAATCATGGGACCTCAATGTCCATGAACACTATGCCAGGGTCCAAGACTACCTGGTACGGTCCTTATCCACGGCCTTTCCTCCAGTACGCGGGCGTTGTCGGTCCTCCCATTTCAGTGCGCAGACATGGCAAATTCGGCAGCGTCGAATTTGGCTCCGGAGGCGTATCACACGCCTAGGCGCCACCATCACCCAATTCAATCTGCGATGTGCTGTCTACGGATGGGCTCTCCGGCTTCGCTTTGAGGTTGCACTTGTTGCGTATTCGTTGGCTCGCGGCCGTGACTTGTGCAAACTTGTGTCCTTTATCGGGGACTTGCGTGATACGAAGCAAGCTCTCCGCCGTCATATTAGACTGGACATTTCTAGTCGCATTTCCCATGCAGCCCAGGAGGCCCCTTGTACCAGCACAGGCAATGTGGTTTCCCGCCTACAGTGTTTGCTAGGACCTTCCAACCGCAAGTCTAGACCTCCTCGGGGTCTACCTGGCCTCCGTCTGAAGGACGGCACCGCCGCACAAGAACCTGCCGACGTTGAAAGAGCCTGGGTTGAGCATTTCTCTTCGATTGAAGCTGGAGTCACCAAGGACCCGCAATCCCTTGTGAGTTCCTGCATCGCAGCTCAGTTCGGACGTGACCTGTCGGACCTTGTGATTGCTCCTGATGAGCTTCCCTCCTGTTCTGACTTGGAAAAGGCCTTCCGTTGCACAATGCTTCACAGGGCGTTTGGCATTGATGGTGTGCCGGCGGAAGCCCTACATGCTGTCCCTGGGCCAGCTGCTCGTGCCCTCTATGCGGTCATACTGAAATGTGCGATGAGAGTTGAAGAACCCCTCCGTTTCAAGGGGGGATCCCTTTATGCGGTCTGGAAAGGCAAGTCATCGCCGGCTGTCTGCAGTTCCTATAGAGGAATTCTCGTTTCGTCGACGGTTGGCAAAGAGCCTATCACAGCCTGCTCAGAGCCAAGAATGTGCCCGCACTGGAAGCTGTGGCTTCTCCTCTACAGGTGGGCGGTTTGCCCAAGCGACCGGTCACACTGGCAGCTCACGTGGTGAGGCTGCATCAGGCATGGTGTCTCTCGGAAGACACCTCCCAAGCAGTCATCTTTCTTGACCTTCGTGAAGCCTTCTACCGGATAGTGCGGCCTATGGTGACTGGCTTCCAGGGGTCTGAGGATGACATACAATCGATTCTGAGGGCCGTGGACCTGCCATCAGGTCTCGCTCATGACCTTCGCAGCCACTTATGGGACAGCTCCTTGTTCCGGGGTGCTGGTGCGTCCCCCTGGTTGGATGCAGTGACTTGTGAGGCTCTCCAGCACACGTGGTTTCGCTTTGAACATGGTCAACTCCTCACGGAGACAGGCATAGGCACACGCCCAGGTGATAACCTTGCCGACCTCATCTTCAGCTATGTCTTCGCTGAAGTTCTCAGGCGAACCAGAGAAGTCGTAGATGAAGCAGTGGGCATTGATCAGATCCCTTGGCACCCTGATATGCTCAATTCCCCTTGGCCGCCTCCACAACCCGCTGAGCACTCCTTGCCGCTACTCGACTGTACTTGGATGGACGATTCTGCCCTCATGGTACGTAGTCGATCTGCAGAAGCCCTTGCCGAGAAACTCAGTGTTACAGCTGGGGCCCTACTTGATGGCTGCCTGGGACGGGCTCTTCTCCCCAACCTGGATAAAGGCAAAACTGAGGCCATTGTCTCCCTACGAGGCGCGGGCTCGCGCAGGGAACGTGCCCGACTGTTCCGTGACAACCCTGCCACCATTGCCACCAGTAGCCGACTTTGGCCCGACGCGCGCATCAAGCTTGTCCCCCTCTATAAACATTTGGGAGGTCAGATACACCAAACTGGAGCACTGATTCGCGAGATTAAGCACAGAGTCGCTCTGGCCTGGGTTGCCTTCACCAAACGCAGGAAACATATTTTTGCATCACCGCGTGTTGCCTGGAAGGACAAGACCAACCTCTATGAGTCCCTGGTGTTGTCTGTACTGTTGTACGGGGCCGGTACGTGGAGGACCCTTGAACCCCTGGAATTGCAGTGCCTTTCCTCTGCGTACCACCAGATGGTCTATGCCATGATGAGGCCCGCCTACAAGGCTGATGATGCCCGTCGTCTTGGGGCGCAGCGGGCCCTGTTCCTCATTGGGCTTCCTACGATGGAGACCCTTCTCCATATGGCCAGACTCCGACACCTACAGTCCTGCGTTGCTGTTGGCTCACGGGAATTTTGGGCCCTTGCCCATGCTGAGAAGGCCTGGTTGGAGAGTGTGCGGGACTCTCTCAGCTGGCTTTACAGTCTTGCTTGCCCCGGTGACGGATCTGCTGCCCTGTGTGCCCAGTGGACCGTTTGGCGTACCGACATGCTGTCCCGCCCGAATACTTGGAAACGCATCCTGCGACAAGCACAGGCTCGGGCTGTCCGTCGCGAGGCCTGGATTGCCGGTTCCTGCTATCACCGTGGATTACTGGCCAGGCAGCTGCGCTTTGCAGGCGGGATCCTGTCAGTCCCCCCACCCTCTTCCTGGGACAAGAGGTATTGCTGTGGTCTTTGTGCCAAGACCTTCCCCAACCGGCAGACATGGTCTGTCCATGCATTTAAAACCCATGGTCGGCAGACAGTGGGACGGGGCGTTCTGACAGGACACCAATGCCAGTATTGTATGCGGCACTTTGGTACGAATCTTAAGCTCTGTAAGCACCTCGCCTACAATACGGAATGCCGCCGTCGCCTATGTGTTTCGGGGTTTGCTTGCGAGGCCGAGCCTGGCCAAGGCAGTGTTCGAGCCGAGGACTCAGGTGCTGTCCAGGCCCCGGTTCTCCAGGCTCAGGGCCCTGTCCTTTCCTTCCCGCAAGGAGAGTGGGTGCCAGAGGAAGAACGCCCAATCGCTGAAGTCATGGACTGTGTCTCTTTGATCACTCATGACCTCCCTCTGGGCGGCGCCCAACCCTCTTCCGAGATCCTTTGGCAACGCACCAGAGAGGCCTTCTCCTGTGTCTGCGCTTCCACGCCTCGACTACGTGTCACTGCGGAAGTCTTGCTTGAACATTTCCGACAGGGAGACTTTCTGCCACAAGTTTCCGATGTGATGCAGGAAATCTTGGAGTGGGTTTGTCAGACTGACATTGTTGAGTGGATTGTCCCGGAACCTGATTACGTCGAGCTGGAAACGTGCATTTTCCGAGACGGTAATCTCGTCCTTGACACTTTGGAGGTTTCCCACCTCACCTTCACTGCTGCTCGACAGCTGCACGCAGAGACAACTTGGGTCCTTGTGGGGCCCGGCCCCTGGTGCGATGTACAGGCTGTCGGTCTACGCAGCTGCATCACCTACACTCACCAAGAGTGTTTGGAATCCTTGTCTGGAGGCGTGTGCCCTTCGTTCTTTGATGGCCCTTATGAGAACACGGCGTTTGTCATCCACCTGGGAGATTGGAGTGGATTCTCCAGTCCTCCCGGCACTGACTCCCCGCCATCACGTCACCATGTGGCCCTCGCCAGGGAAGCCCTTCTTGGCGATCTCGTCAGGCTCTCCCTCCGACTTTGGGGCTGCGGTGTTCCCGCCACCCTCGTCTTCTGTCCTCTCTCCCGCCGGCATCTCGCTCCCCTTTTAGAGATTGGCTGTCTCTCTCAGGGGCAGCGACAAAAGGATGCCTTCCTGCGGAATGCCTGGACTGGATGGTGAGCCCGTCGGCTTTTAGTTTCACTTAATTAGATGCCATTAGGGCTGCAACCGACTCGGATTCGTTGCCCGAAAGACGTGAAAGACGTCTATGTGACACACAGGTGGTTAGCGGCACTTGCCCTTGTCATGTCTCGTGTGCAGTCATCTTGAGCTTGGAAAAAATTTGTCCTGACTTTGTTTACGTCTCTTCGGAGAAAAGCAGCAGGGAAATTGATGAAGCCCTAACAGACGGAGAGCAGTTATATGGTTTCGATTTCAACACTTCGCAGCTCTACTTCCTGCACAACTTTATCCCCTTCATCGGCTTTGGTTTCTGCGACAACGCTGTGCGGGCCCCAGAGTGGAGTTCAACAAGATCGGAATGACCACCCGTGCATTGACGGAATGCTTGGGGTGACGATGATTTTGGAAGAAGTGAAGCTGACGGTGATGATGACAAAGATTCTGATGGTTAGGCCGAAACCAGACACGGCAACGCGAGCCGACGACGACACTAGATTTATGACTCATAGTAGAGGACTTATCACCTCATGTATAACTGCCCATGAACCTCCAAGTACTAGTCCTTCTCCAAGTCCTGGTCCCTGCCTTGGGTTGCCGGTGGTCGCGTTTCCTTGAACACTCCGACCCAATGATCACCAAGATGCGGCGGAAGCTTCCTGTCCGCTCCAGTTCAACACCGAAGTTTCATGGTGAACTCCGACCCATTTCAGAACCTCTCCCGTGTGCATTCCGTCCTGCCGCTTCTTGATAACCAGTCAATATAGAAGCCTGAATAGCCACCAGTACTACTCTATGGGGTTCCTGATTATAACTATAGCACATTCTGCCCTAAACCCCGTGAAGGCCTTTATATTTGCGCTCAACTCACGATCCGAGGGACCCCGAACCCAGGTCTCGAAGCCCTGGACCACCTAAAGCCTGCCACGGCAATGGGAAGTCGTGAACGCCGAGAAACCCCTGGACCCAAGACTCCGAGATTTTAAACTCTAAATCCCGAGCTACAAACCTTAATGCTAAACCCCATAATAAAAGCCGTCGAAGATAGCCCTTGTAGTAGCCCTACTAAGATTAATGCCCTGCAAGCCTAAGCACCCTTGCCGCAAGCCTTTTAGAAGAAATCTTTCAAGGGCACCCCTTTCAAGGAACCCTTTATGGGAACCCTGTTCTAAATCTGCTCAGATCATGATCCTGGCCGGCCTGGCCCTTACAGAATTATTGGATGTTTAGGTGGTTGTTGGGGTTTTAGACGAGTCTCGGGTTCGCAAATCCAGACGTTTAGAGTCCGGGCTTTCAGGTTTCAGGGAGCAGTGATTTCGGGTTTGGTGTCTTAGGATTCGTCCATGGGTCCTTTACCGCTCTGTCTGGGCCATCTGGGCTTTCTGTTGGAATCTAGTCGAATCTTGCTTGGTAGTTAATACTACTACATCTACCACCACCGCCACAACGACCACTACTACCACGGCAACTGCTACTGCTACTGCTACTGCTGCACTTACTGCTTTGACTGCTACTGCCCCATGATTTCTGCAAGGATTCAGAGCACGCGAAGTCTAGGACATTTCCAGCTGGGTAGTTACCGTTACAGGAGCCTTATAGAAGGTCTATATACCTTATGGAAGCCTTATAGAAGCCCTATATACTCTAAACTCCTCATCAGTAGTTTCCTTTCCTAAACCCTAAACCCTAAACCCGTAAACCCCAAACCCCTAAACCCCTAAACCCCTAAACCCTAAACCCCTAAACCCTAAACCCTCAACCCTCCTTTAATCCGAAGACTGGTGATCTGAGGGGACTACATCGACGCACGGCTCGGGCTCACCCTCGGGCTCAGTACCATGGCAGCCGCGGCCTGGGGCAACACCTTCAGGCCAGGACAGAGGACCTTGGGTTTTAGGGTGCGGGTTTAGGGTTCAGGGTTTAGGGTGCAGGGTTTGGGGTGTTAGGGTGCGGGCTTAGGGTTCAGGATTTAGGGTTTAGCCACTTGGAAGTTTCTGAAAACAAGGGGTCCCTTATTTTGGGGTCCTGAAAAGAAGGATCCTAGTATTTCGGGTACTATGTTAGGGTCCCCTAATTTTTTGGAAACCCCCACTTAGATAGTCAATGGGAGAACTTTAAACTTTTTGTCCCTATATATTAGATCTATCTTAAACCCTAAACCCTAAACCCTAATCTTAAAAAGCTTGAACTTTTTTTGGCCTGGTTCTTCAGGCCAGGACAGAGGATCTTCAGAGGGCTTCGGGGGTTTCTGTAAGGGTCCTCTTTTGCGGAAGACTTATCACTTAGGGTTTAGGGTTTAGGGTTTAGGGTTATCACTTATCCTGTTTGGGCATAACATATGGCTTCTTTCAAGGGGATCTCCAGGGAAAGGGGATCCGAGGACGTAGCACTGTAACCAGGGGTATAGTTCAGACAACCCCACGCCGGGAAGTTTCAGCACCGCATACAACGCAACCTCAGAACAAAGTAAGCTTGGCATCCTTATCACAAGAACCCCCAGACAATCTTGAGAAGCCTCCCTGCTAAGACCCAAACAGCCCTGCAAAGCCCTGTCAATAGTCCTTGGAATGCCCTTCTCAAAATCCGAAAATCCCTTTGTAAATGCCCGACAAAGCCTTGCTTCAAGACAACGTGAAAACCCAAAACAAGTGGCAGAGAGCCCCGACAAAAAAGCGGTTTCCCGCTCTGTTCCAGTGATGTCATCGGGCTTTGGATCTCCGGTTTCATCGAGACCTTCGTGGCCTCGCGTTGGGCTCAGAGGCGTTAGGCCCTGTGTATGTTTTTGCGGTTAGGGTTTTAAGCTACTGGTGGACCGTTTAGGCTGTTTCGGGCTCTAGGTGTGAAGCCTTTTATGGGCACGAGGGGCTGTTCGCCCTTTTTCTTGTTTTGTCTTCTCGCACCAGCGTCGGTTGGTCTTTTTGGGATTCGAGCATCACCCAGACGGCCTCGGAGACATCAACGTAGACAGTTCATTGTGAGATTCACCTCCCACATGATGGGAATCCAAATATTCAGCGGTAGTTGTCAATCAGAGCCCCGACTCCTGTGTCAGAACGGGCGGTTCATGAAAGGGTCGACACCTTTCAACATAGAGCGTGCTTCGAAGGGTTTCGGGACTTGCTTGCGTTACAAAAGCCTGCATGGCCCCATCTAGTTTAAAGTTATACGCCAGAGCCATGTGTTAAGAAATCGGAGCACATTCTCACATTGCACATTGTGACCGGCTGCAAGAAACAGCATGCCTGGACCACGTCAAGTAAAACTTGGGCCACTGACACTGTGTAGGTAAGGGGGGGGGGGGGGGGG